TTGTTTCTGCAAATCCAGCTGGCCTGAATGCAGTGAGGAGAGATCTTGCTAGCCTTCTTTAAGACATGATTACTTGACTTGATTGACTTGATTACATACCATGTGCTCAGGTTGCTGTAAATGTTGGCTGCCCTACTGATGACAGGATGGTGGCCTGCCTGAAATCAACTGATACTGGGACTCTCACCATGGCTTTTCCTCGCATCCAACAAGGCTCCCCAGACTGTGAGCATTATCACCAAACATTGACAAATCATCTTACAAACTGGAAATAGTGAAATCTTCGTACCATTTCGTCATGATGCTGCAATATAACAAACTAAATTTTAGTTTTACCAACAAAAAAATAACAAATTAAAAAGAGATATGATGCCTATTTATTATATCTGTTTCAATCTATTTCAGACCCTGGTGTGATTCAACTGAATCTGACTCCTGTTGCCGATGGAGACTTCCTCCCTGATCAGCCAGCCAACTTGTACCACAATGCTGCTGACATAGACTACCTTGCTGGGGTTAATGACATGGATGGACACCTCTTTACTTCACAGGACATTCCCTCCTTTAAGAACAAGACTAAAGAGATTCCTGTGTAAGGCAGATATGTCCTCAGAGGGGAGGCGTTTTGTTGTGTGCAATCCTATAACTTTGAAATTTAAACTATGAACGCAACAAAGAAAATGTGGAAGTCTGCAGATTCCTTTCACTAATGGAGCTCTTTACCTTATTATCTCTGTAGAGAAGATGTAAAGCGGCTTCTTGCTGCCTATACCAAAGAGACGGGGCAGGCTGGTTTCAAGGTTGCATTCGCTGAGTATTCATCCACCTGGGGGTCAAAACCCAGCCAGGACACCATCAAGAGAACTGCTGTGGACATAGGGACTGATTACCTCTTCCTGGTTCCCATTCAGACTGCCATTTACCTGCATGCTGCTAATGCCAGGTGAGCCTAACTGCTTGATTCTCCTCCCTAAAAACATATTTTAGCTGCTGTAGTAACTGTTAAAGTTTAAATTATTATTTCAAATTAAAGATTTACCATTTGGACTGAACCTCTAGTCCCACATTAGAATGAATGACATGTTTGGTCTTTAACAGGTCTGGCCGTACCTACTCCTACATGCTGTCTGAGCCCAGTTTAATGGCTGGACCAGACAAACCCTACCATGACTGGGTGGGCGCTGACCACGCTGATGACCTGCAGTTCGTGTTCGGCAAACCCTTCACTACGCCGAAGGCTTATGGAGACAGACACAGAGACCTGTCTGGCTATATGATTGCATACTGGACTAACTTTGCCAGAACTGGGTAAAACACACTGTCCAAACATGTGCAACATTGCAAAAAGAGCTACAAAATGTTACTACAAAGCTAATGAATACTTTCACAAGTATGTCTTCCACTGTTTATTTTCACAGAGACCCCAACAGAGGAAACCTGAAGGTGCCTGTGGCCTGGCCTGAATTTACCAGTGCTGGAGAACAGTTCCTGGACATCAACGCGAAGATGAATGAGAGCTCCATTGGACAGGAATTGAGGTCCCGTTTTGTTCGCCTTTGGACCAGCATCCTTCCCAGCCTTCCATGGTATCATGCCACAAATGCTCAGTGATGCATTTTTAGTTTAAATAAGACACCAATGATACTAATAGAAGAGTGTGTACAATAAACCTTGTGGGTGAAAAAACTGTTGGTGGCTTTTTATATGGTTCAACCGGACTACCTTCGAAAGTGGTAGCCTTTAACATTGTCGGCAGTGGATGTTTAATGAAAAATAGAGTCTGAATAAAACCTGTTTGTGGGTGTCATAATGAATAAACATCAGCTGAAGACCTTTTAAACATAATGTGGACCTCAGCCCTCAATCCGACGTCACAAAAATACTTTCTAAATAAGACACTGTATGTAGTACAAAACGATTGAAAAGTCACTTGATACACAACCAAGAATCAAGTAAAAGCAAAACCCAACCATCAAAAGCTTAGTTGAATGCACAGATTTTGAGCAAGCGAACCAGCTAACTGTCTGCTAAACTCCTCTCCTGAACAGCGACTGTCCAATCATAGTTTAGCAACAAAGGCATAGTGTAGCATACCGGTCAAACTTTGAATTTCTCCTCATGCTGAAGCAGCGATAGTGGGGCTCTAGTAAAGAACAATAAACAAAAACAAGGGCAAAATTCCAAGGAATAGATTTCAGTGGGTTTGCAGCTCTAACATTAGCATGACCAGCTAACTAGCTTACTGTCTTCAGTGGCAGCTTAGCTTTGCTTTCAAGCTACAATATCATTAGCTGATTATATTATTCTTGAGGGGATACAGGTTACTTTTGGAAAAACACAGTCATTAGATATATTACCACACTGTGTGACAGCAAGTTTTTTTTCAAAATGCTTCCCATTTTCCCGTTTCTTTCCCATTGGCCTTCATGGTTGGAGTTAGTTCTTAGGTTAGGTTAAGTTTAAGATCCCAATGGAGTTGTGGGCTGTTTGGGTTGAGGTTAGTCACAAAAGGTGACTGGTTGGGTCAATGCATGGTTATTTTTTTATTTTTAGGAGCTCAAAGCACTGCAACTTAAGAAAACACAAGCAAATAGACAAAACACAAGCAAATTCACAAAACATCTTCATCAATTTGACAACACACCTGTGCTGCAAATACTCACAAAAAAACAAATACAAACATGCGGCAAATACACACAACCCAACCAAATCAACCAAATATTTGTGTATTTGGTTGTGTTGTATTTTCAGGGTAAGGAAAGAGAAATGTCTTCAGTAAACCTGGGTAATAGATTGTTGATGTAAGATGACTGTGGCTCCAAAATAAGTATGTAGCACTAACCTACTGGCAGCTTGTTATTCACACTCGTAGGATTCTGGTCCAAAATAAAAAACTTAAACTAAACTCGACCTGGGATACCATGTGGGAACTCCAGGCTTCCTGAGCACTGGAGACTCCAATTTGCACAGTAGCCAGTTTATTTCTTTACATGAGCAACACTGAAGATGATGCCCAGCTAGACTGACTTTTGTGACTGTTTCCTAAGCTGTTTTGTTTCTTTTTGACAGGCAACTGTGGTCTGTGGGACCAGCATGAGGCTATAGCCTGGGTGTGCATGAAACATCCGCTTATTTGGAGAAGATCCTCACAATGTCACCATCTTTGAAAAGGGTGCAGGAAGGGCTAGTGTCAGCTCCCATGGGAGAGGACTCTCCTATACCAGGCTGATTGGCCCACAGTCTTCAGCTCTGACCCCTCACAGACTAAAAGATGTGACCTGTGCCATCAAAGGCCTGATCACATTAGCATTTCAAAGTGATTCATTTCACCTGAACTGCCGCATTGACATCTGTGAGTCCTCGGAAACATCTAAAGCTTTGATACAGATGGCAGATGTCGCCAAACTCACCTTAACACTAATGAATGTGTAAATGAAATTTCATACATGCCCTCACATTTCCGATGAGATAAGTGAAAACACCTGTGTGGGTGTGCCATGGGTGTTCACAAAAATGTATCGTGTAAATTTGATTTTAGAACGAGGCAATATCCTAAAATATCTTTTTCTGTTTGTGTGTGTTCCCATAAAAGACCCCACAACAAATGGCTGCTCGAGACAGCCATATCCTGGAGTTTGGTTGCCCTCCGCCCCTGGACTGTCAACATGAACCCCCCTTAAGTTCACCTGCGAGGTATAAAACAGCCTCTGTAATGCGCCTGACTTTTTTGTTGGTCTTATAGATCTTTTAGCACTCCCTGATAAATTAATGAGCTGGAATTTAAAGGTGGACAAAATCAGAGCTGGGAATTTCAAGATGATTTCAGTCCTTGTCTTCTCTCGTCAGGTTGCCTTAAAGGTCAACTGCACTACTGATCACAATATGGGCGCCTGCTTGAAAAGGACTGATCTTTTGGCACTAACCATGGCCATTAAGCTTAATCTGTCCTCAGGCAATAAGTGCCATCTAACATGAATGACTGACAACAATGGAGAGCTGAGTTTGCCCATAACCTGGCCTACATTCACCAGCTCTGGACATCATTTCCAGCAGATCAAGTCAAGATGAACAAGAGTTATGTTTGATAGAAGCTTTATGTGTATTTCTGGACCAGCGTCCTGCCCAGCCTACCCACAAACATCTCAGAATAAAGAGCTGGTGCAATCACCTGTGCATCTGCAGTGTGGACCCATAGATAAAATCATCAGACCAAAATGAGTTCATAAAAAAATTAATGAATGACTATTGCATATGATAGTGTGATAGTCATTTTTATTTCATTTTGAATAACTTTATTACTTAATTGCCATTGTGCAATAAATGTACTGTTTTGCTCCAATAACAGGACAAAAAGTCAACATTACATCACAATCTGACTTCTCTGCAGTAATGTTTTGAAAGAGCATTACTAATAAAAGACCACAAGGGGGTGCATGCAGAACATGAGTCAGCTCTACTCAGGTTACAGGTTACAGTACTGCCAATATGGCCTGACCATATACCATATGTTGACATACCTGTCCACATACTTTTGTGTACTTTTTGGTGTGGGGCTGTTTTTCAAGGTTTGCTAAGTGATGATATTTAACATAATGTTCTTCCAACTTTGTGGCAACACTTTGTTGAAGGCCCTTTACTGTTTCCACATTAGGGTGCACAAACCCAGGTCCACAAAGAAATAGTTTTCCCAGTTTGGTGAGGAGGAACTTTTTATGTATGTGATGTTCCTGAAAAACTATCTAAACTTGTCATTAAATGAATTTCACAGTTTTTTCTGGGTTTGACAAAGGGGGGGTCAGACCTCTGTGTTAATGATCATCTGCAGTCAGGTCAGAGCCCTGGGTGTGGCAACAAAGTGGCGCATCTTGTCTCCAAGGTGCTCGTGTCATTGCTGGGCGACACATCATGACAAAACTGCCCGGCGGTAAACTAACCCATTCACACAAAGACAGTGAGTGAGTGTCACTGCAGCCTGCGAGAGAGACAGTGACACCGGGAGCATGTCCAATGGGAAGATAGCCGCCTGTGTTGGGCTGGGCGTGGGCGCAGTGCTTATCATACAAGGTGGAGACCCGCTGGACTCAGCAGGCAACGGGTCCCCGATATGGAGAGACACGGGGCTGCTCGGTGCTCCAGCGCGGGCTGTGGTCTGTATCATTGCCGGAGTTTCCCTCCTCGCCATGGGCTGGCTCTACAGGCTGCTCTTCTGTCCCCTGGAACGGTCCAAGGCGCTCGAGGATGTGGGGTACATCGCCGAGGACGGTCGCTCCAGAGCCCAGGCTGCAAACGAGGTCCGCCGCAGGAGGAAGACCGGAGAGCTGCCTCCAGTTTATCCGAACGGCTGGTACCGAGTGCTGGACTCACACCTGCTGGAGAGAGGCGAGGTCAAAAATGTCTCAGTTCTAGGTATGATAAGTGGAGGTAGTTGCTTTACCGCTACTAAAGTCACCAGCTGCCATACTTATTGTGTGTGGCGCATGTAAAAAAAAAAAAAAAAAACATATATAACATATATCAAGAAGACACTCAAGAAAAATATTAAATTGTATTTATTTTGAAAAAAAAGACAACATAACAACTCATATGTGTGAGCCCCCCCGCAACTTTCCCTAAGATCAAAGTGAGTACACTGAGATAGGTGGTCACATACCTCAGCAGATACTATTATGTCAGACAAATGTCTCAGCTCAGCAGTGGGACAGGCAGTGAAGGTGCTGACATCAGATCAGCAGGAGACCTGACCATGGGAGACTTTTTGCTTAGCTCAGGTAAAATTTGTGGTAGCCATGGTAACTAAATGCTGCTTCTCCATGTTTGGACTTAGCAGACTACCAGCAGAAGACCTTAGAGGTGGAAGATTCAGGTGATGAAAGACAGACAGAAAAGATTCTGGCTCGAACCATCCATGCCTGCACATGAATACTCTACATTTTCCTATGTGTTTTTTTTTTAAGATGGTAAGAGACAGACTTTGTAATCGATTTGAATCTAGAGTTAAAGTTTAACTCTGAGTTCCTGATTACATCAAAGATATAGACAGGATTGACTGCAGACAATGTCAATAACCACATCTGTCCCTGAACCGGATGAGTCACTCAGTGTGATGAACTGCTCTGAATAACAGAGCTGCATTTTCAAAACGCAGTCATGTAAATGTGAATTACATCACACAAATGAGCCACAGTTGGAAACTTAGGAACATTCAACACAAACAAAATAGTGTGATTCTCAGGTGCTTGTTTAAGCAAGCACTCCAGTTTAGTTACAGTAGTTTTCATATTCACAACTAACTCACTCAACACATTGTTTTTTTTAAATGATCTTAAACAGATATAGGTCACTTTGGGTGCTTATTTTGACTTTTGCCACAATTATCCCTCTGTCGTTTTTGCAGATATAAAAGTCACTGCTCTAGATGGTCCCTGGTCTGACTATGTTCCAGGGACATTACAATAATGGTATATCTCTAACTACTTTTGTATGATGAGTGTGCAAACTGGATCTATGCCCAGTCAGATCACCACATCTGGAGATCTCTACTTATAGCTATTAAATGTCTTTGGTTTGACTTTTGGCTGACCTATACACTGCTCAGATTGCTCCCAGATTAGCGCAGGCTAGATGACAGTAGTTAAGAGGAACTGCTGATCCAGCTCCAGCAGCGCCTGGTCACGGGCTCCCTCAATAAAATTCTGAGAAATCCAAAAAAGAGGCTCATCCACACGAGGTGTGACACAGCACCGTGCTGCTGTACACACACGTTTGAAGGGGCAGAACTGAACCACAGCGCATTCGTGTGAGAACAGCACAGGGGAAAAGACGCACTTGGCAGAATTTAATATCTGATGTAAATGGATGACCACAGAGAAAGGTTAGGAGTGAGACGCTGCAGTCTTTCACAGCAGGATGCAGATCCCGGAGGAAGCCAAGTTTTGATTTGGGTCAACATAATGTGGGACAGTAAGAACGGGCTGGAGGTAGGGCTGCCACTGAGGACTTTTTTTTCTAACAATTAATCTATCACTGTTTTATCAAATAGACGATTAATCTAAACAATTAATTTTCCTCCAGAAAATCTATGTGACTCTCTGGCATGATCAATAAGTCCAGATTCTGGGTTAGACATTTTCTCAAACACTTATTCAGTGTAAATTCTCGGGTAGCAGCAGACGACTTTCTGACTTTATGAGAGTATTTACCAGCTGCAAGGACCAAAGATATTAAAAAGCTCTGTCTACTAACGAACAGACAACACTGACATGAAGTAATCCTTCACATGTTAGTGACTGAGCTCACTGTGCACCATAAAAAATAATAATCACAAAATAACACTGGTTAAACAAGAGTTATAGTGAAGGGATTCTGAGACTTTTACTGGTTCTTTGTTAAAAAGAATAAATTAAGAACAGGATTAGAACTGATTGTTCTGGTTTGTCTGTTTACAACAATCTGCCACGTTAATCAGTCAGACTACAGACAGACTGCTTCCATTGTAACGTTTCCTAGCAGTTCGCTGTTAGCTTTACCAGCGCCATGTTGTTGTGTAAAGACTGTTTGTTTGTTGCTTGTTGATCAGGGTGTTGGATAAAGTTCTTATTGGCCTTTTACTTTTTATTGCACTCTTTATTACAGTAAAGATCAGAGATAGTTGTCGTTAACTCCAATAATCCTCAGTTAGCAGCAGAGAAGAAGTGTGACCTTAGATGATTTAGAAAATAAATATATGCCGGTTAATAATGACTTGCCACCACAAATAGTTCAATGTATCAATGGGAAACGACTCGTCACGTAAGATTTTGGCGTCGACGCATTTTCATAGTCGAAGTCGTCAATTATGGCGACTAATCGCGGCAGCCTGAGCCGGAGGGGAAACTTATGCTGAAAGGCACTAGAGAGTGAGAAAAGAGAGGGATATATAAGGAAAATAAAATGCTATTATATATAGTCCTACTGTATATTTAGCATCACAGACAGAGATCAGTCCATACTTTATTAAATGTTTTCCAACATGCCAACACACCCTGGTGGTTTTCTGGCAGTCCTTAATCCCCACTTTGGCAACCACTGAGATGCATCACACCTTCAGTCTGTAAGAGCTTTAATAACCTGCTACATTAGCTGTAAAATATCCACAATATAAATAAGTCTTTCAACACATGATCACGTCTCAGTACATACAGTCAGTTAACATCTACTACAATATTAAGCATGAAAGTTTATGTTTTTTAGTTTTTTAGTTTGACAAAAAAAAAAGAAAAAAAAGAAAAGAAAATACAACCCAAGCTCTCAACCACATCCCAAGGTCTTCCTCAATGGATTGAGTTTGCTCAGTTGTCATGGAGACAGTTCTTTTGTCATGCACTATGATTTTATCCCATCAACGGACTTATCTCCCTGACAACAGAGCAAACTCCAGTCATACAACACCATTGAAATAACTACTTTCTAATACAGTATGTTTTAATTTGGTTATTTGGTCCATTAATCAATATTAAGAAATTTAATTGACCAAAATTTTGATAAATTTTCTTTCTTCCTTTATCATCAGTGTCAAGGAAAAACACAAAATATTCTTTGGCTCCAGCTTCTCAAATGTGAGAACATGACATCACATCACACACAGATGAGAAGTTTTCATATCTTTAACAATTTTTATAGATTAAATGATTGATCAGTTGATTGAAACAATAGTTGATGAATTGGTGACAAATATGATCATTGGTTACAAGTGTACGCTGAAACAGTCTGCAAGAGCAGGTGACTCTTTTTACTGGTGCATATTTTTTTCCAGGTGTGGAAGCTTTCATACACTGTGTTTGTTTGTGACAGGTAATGTGACAGAAACATGAAAGCAGCGAACACTCTTTGAAACCTTTTTGAACTCAAACTCAAAGAAACTCTGTGAGGAGATCAAACGCTCCCACCGCATATCAACACGAGAATAACACATTTAAAATGTGAAGCATGTATCTGTTTTACATCATGTGTCGCAATGAAAATGTGCCTAAATAAATAACAGCATGATCGAAAGTTTAAACTTTGTAACACAGGTGCTACGTATCGAGCAGCACAGAGACATAGACATGACACATCAACAGCTTTAAAGCTGGGAATGACGAGGCTGTCATATTATTGATCAGAGAGAGACCTGATGCAGGATGGATTGGCTGTCAGACCTCTATAAACACTAAATCAAAGAGGTCAAGTGCTCTTAAGACAAAAATAATCAAAAACATTTTCACAACATTTTATTGACAAGGCAAAGTCATTTATCAGTCAAAATTAATCAGTAATCAGCAGATTAATTCATAGTGAGATAATCGTTACTTGCAGCTTTACAATCAACCATCCATCCATCAGCTATTCAGCTTATCCTTTGATTCCCATGAGCTGACACTGGGCGAGAGGCGGGTTACACCCAGGACTGGCCACCAGTCTATCACCAGGCTGACGTATACAGACCATACAGATGGCACTCACGTTCACACCTACAGGCGGTGTAGAGTCGTCAGTCAACCTAACCTGCACGTCTTTGCAGGAAAGCCACACAGGCATGATGAGAACCCGCAAACTCCACACAGAAGGTGATTCCTGTGAGGTGATATTGCTAACCCCTGTGCTGCAGCTTTGCTACCATTATGTGGTTATTCAATTAATGTTAGTAACTACACACATCCACCTCCATGACACTTTTAATTCAAACAAGCAGTTGCAGGCGTGTTTGACCAGAAACAATGAGACTTTGTTTGAAAAAGAAAGCATCACTAAGCACTCTAGTGTGTGAACTACTCTAACAAAGGCAGTAGGCGTTTGTGTCTGAAATGTATACTGAAAACTTTGTGAAATGAGCTCGTCTCTCCTGGCAACCGAGCCTCGCTACACCCCCCGCCTGAGACAACAGAGACCAGGTGAACTGACAACCATCAGGGTTACTGAAAGACCAGCAGTGAATCATCAGGGGTTGCAACCAATGATTATTTTCATTATCAGTTAGTGAGAAAATTTCCCATCACAATTTTTCTCAAGCTCAAGATGACGTTTTCAAGTTGTTGTGAAGAAACAGCAAAACCCCAAGATATTAATTTCACAGTGATGGGAAACAGAGAAAAGCAGGAAATCCTCCCAGATGAGAAGATGGCACCAACAAATGTTTGGCAAGAAAAAATGACTTAAACCGCAGTTGTGTCAATCAGTTGATGGATTCATTGTTTCTCTACCTTGTGATAGTTACAATAGTAGTGACAATTATTGCTCCGACCAAAGAACTAGATTATAATTCACTTGTACTTAAAGCCATTGTGTGTAGAATTTGAAAATTTCAGATTTGGATGCCTCCCATTTTTTTTTAACAATTAGTTAGGGCCAAGACACGCATTACAAAAAGGGAAATTTATTGGCACAATATAACACTCTAATCTATGGTTTATCTCTGATCAGCAAGTACACACAATGCTTGTTTGTCAAAGTCTCACGTCATAATTCTCTAAATATCTCAGCGTAATTGGAACATGTTCTAAGAAATAAGTAAGGAATATGTTGCATGAGATATATTCCTTCCTTTTATCCACTGTGCAACAATTTGGCAGTTTTTCTGTTACAGATTTGTCTGAAGAGTTATGTACAGCCATACTTCAACCTATATATCCTGATTCTGGGTTGTGTTAAAAGCCTGCCTCTGCTGTAATTAAATATCCCAGGTGAGCAGGTGGCAGTGTTTCGAGGCCAGGATGGGAAGGCCTATGTGGTGGATGCCTACTGCCCTCACCTGGGTGCCAACCTGGCTGTGGGAGGACGGGTGGTGGGAAGCTGTATAGAGTGCCCGTTTCACGGATGGCAGTTTCGTGGGGACGATGGCAAATGTGTGAGGATCCCCTACGCAGAAAAAGGTATGAACTGACGGTGATGGTTTCATCAATTTACAACTGAGAAAAAGCTCTTAAACATTCATTATCTAAAATAAATGTATGGTGAAAAAAAAAGCATGACTATGCTCAGTAACTATAATGATGTAAGAATATGGTATTGTGTCATTTTCTATGGTGTTTAGACATAACATTAGTATAAGTCACCAGACCAGCTCTATTTGTTGTTGATATGTTGATGGATAGATGGTGAAACGGTTATTGATTATTGAACATCCACTGTTAGGAATGAGCAGTGGATTGCCAAAATGAAATTTAACACTTCTCTTTATGCGTCCTGATTAAAAACACTTGAAATAAGATTCAGTATTGATTTGTCCTTCAGTGCCAGAGTTTGCCAGGGTGCGCTGCTGGCCCAGCTGCGAGGTCAACGGCCACGTCCTGGTGTGGTTTCACTGTGATGGAGAAGATCCTCAGTGGAAGGTGCCAGAGCAGCAGGAGATCACAAAGGGAGAGTGGGTCTACCGGGGGAGAACTGAACATTTTGTCAACGCTCACATACAGGTGGGTGCATATGTGCGCATGTGTTTTTATATATGTAGCATGAGCACGGTTTAGTTGAGTTTAAGTGGTTTATTTTGTCAGGTTTTCTCAACATAATCTTCCCTCAGTGTATCAGAGACCAGAGATCAAGGAGGGACAAATGACCATGAGCTCCAAACATCTGTTCACCTTCAGTCTTCAGAAAATCCACCTATTGTAGCTGTACATGAACTCAGTATCCAACACCACCGGGCAGCGTAGATGCTTTGGACACTAATCTTTTAACACAGTGGTGAGAATGTTTCACGGCGACCTCTCCTCTTTATAGGAGATTCCTGAAAATGCAGCAGACATCGCTCACCTCAATCACCTGCACACGCCGGGCATCGTCAGCGGCGTAGATCTGCGCTACACCAACAGCAAAATCTGGGAATTTGTGCGACATGACTGGAAGGTGAGATGCTCTTGCAGATAAGGAGGCTGAATAGGTGACTCTTTTTAAAAGGTATTTTGATCATCAACAGTGCACTTCTGCCACTGTATGTACTTTGTGTGTGTGCATGTGTGTGTGTTTATTCAAGGTTCAATGGGAACCGGAGTCAGAGCCCAACAAGCATTGTTCTCAGATGCTGGTGAAACACTCTCTGACTGTGTTCGGACACCACTGGTCTCTGCTGGATGTTCACGTTGTGGCCAGACAGGTACTGTAAAGTTCAAAGTAGAATATGCAGTCAGTACATCATTTCCTGTGATTGACTCTAAATTATATTGACAGAATAATCAATAATCTAATCAATAATACAGTTGAAAATAAGTAAAAAGGAGTTCAGCCACATTCACAAGGTCGTAGATGAAAAACATCTGCTGTGCTTCAACTCAAGACCACAGGAGTGAAAGTCTTTAAATAGCTGCTGAGTTTAGATGAGAAGTTAACATTAACTTGGCTTAACATGATTTCCCACTCAACTTTTAACCATTCAGTACAACAGTACAGAGCCTGACAGACGTGTGACTGTGTGTGTTATAACAAAGCTGTCTATTACAAAACCATCAGGAACTGAAAATCTCACTCAGTCTCCAGTGTGGAGCAACAGTGGCCTGAACGCAGTGTCCATGTAACTACATCTGAGAAAAATACTGGTCTGATGCAAAAGAAACACCACGTTCTGTAGTGCAGTCTGTCTCTTTTTATCTTGACTGATAAACTGAGTGAATAAGTGCACCCTGAAACCACCAAGAGGACTCTGTAGGGGAAAGAATACGGTCATTGTAATGTGGACAAGACTGGGAGGACAGTACAATTATTGTAGGATGAATGAAATGCATGACAATATGAGAGGGGGTGATTATTGGGACTAACCCTGAATGTAAAATGACTTGTTCTGCAATATCAAGACATTGTTGCTTTTTGAGCATTATCATTTTTGTAACAAGGTTATTTGATGTTAAATAATCCAAAACATATTTAATCATTTTGATTACCAACCTTAACTGATACGCTGTAAACACATCACCATGATATTTACAGTAACTTAGTGGATGCTATTTACATTGCAGTATCTCACTGCAAGGAAATTATAGTAGAAAAACCTGTGCTATTATTTTCATATTTTCAACAGTAAAATGCAGTCATTGAAAACAGTACAGTATTGTAAAACAAAATAAACAGTAACTTATACATACATAACTTACTGTGCCACACCTGTGATCAGGGTCGCCAAGCCTGAACCGTCTGAAGAAGCTCTAGGATCAGTTTAACCTTTTAAGTTTCATAATAAAGTCTGATATGGACGAGGGAAACCGAACTTTACTGACTTCATACAGAAAAACAAACAGTAAGTGTGTCCTGCGGCGATGCTGTGACACAAAAGGGGTGTCTCACAAGCGGGTGTTGTTTTAATGTTAATGGGATTCAGATGAAAACAAACAAATCAGCCTCATTGCACGAGCAGAACAATGCAACATACTGAAGCTCCGCCACAAATCCACCGTCAAATTCTTCTAAAGAGCATCATTTCTGTTTTTGAAGAGTGACGTTGGCCATTTGTTCATCTGTCAGCAAGTTGTGACCTGGCAGTTTGCCTTACAAAAATGCAGTAAAGTGCAGGCTCACTGATGGACAATTTATGTTTGAACACTTTTTGGACCTTATGATTGGACTCTTTTATTTGGACTTTAGGGTTATTTCCTGTTTTATTTTTGAAACTAGGAACCTTGTGTTTCTTGTGGTTAGTTCACTTCCTGTCTTTGTCCTGTTTCCCTCCTTTAAGATTGTCTGCCCCGCCCTAATGTGTTTAACCTGTGTTCAATTACCTTTGCCTCCCTTGTGTCTATTTAGTCTCTGTGCTCCCCTTTGTGTCTGTCAGTTTGTCCTGTTTTACTCCTGTTACTCTCTGTCGTGTCACTGCTCCTGTTCTAGTATTTGGATTTTCTGTTGTACTCCTTTTTTGTTCCAGTCTTCCCCTGTTGTATCCTGTCTGCCTAAATTTTGGATTTTGAGTTTTCAGCATTTTCACCAGTTTTGTAAGTTTCCTTTTGTTATTAAAAGACCTTTTTTTTTTTTTTTTTCCCTACCGCCTATTTTTGGATTCTCTGCATTTGAGTCCTAACTCTGCAAAACCTGACAGAAACAACCTAAAATATATGTTTCAGCATGTTTCAGCCCATGACAAGATTCCCATAATGCCTCATGTCTTACAGTACCCTACTCTTAAACACCGTCACTGTATTTCACATTAATTTACTGTATTAACAACACATATCCTTTACAGTGTGGGGCTGTAAATGATGAATCTAGTGCATAAAACAACATGATGGGTATATCAACAGCAATCAGCAGATTATGCACATCATTGCACGTCTTTCCAGGCTGATGATCGTATTTTTGCTTGTTGTTCAGGTGGGTCCAGGCGTGGTGTTTCTGCTGTTTGACCACAGTTTCCTGGGCCGTGGTGTAATCATGCACTGTGTGACTCCAGTGGAGCCTCTGCTGCAGTGCGTCTCGCACACCATCTTCTATCAGTCTAACATCCCGCCTCTGGTGCCCAAGTTCATCCTCAGTGCAGAGTGTGTTCAGGTGCAGTACACACTCACCTTCATCTTTCACTGTAACACAGTCTTTCATTGTCAGATCTGAGTGGCTGCATCACGGGGGAGAAGTCTGAATCCACCGTCTTTCTATTATATCTGGAAAGAAAAAAAGTTCAAGCTCCACTTATCATTTTTTTCTCCCTCTGGTGACAGTCAGGGCCGGAGGCATTATGTTTTTGGGTTGTCCATACGTCCGTCTGTCCCATTCTCATGAACGCGATATATCAATAACGCCTGGGAAGTTCTTCAAATGTGTGCACAAATGTTCACTTGGACTTAAAATGCGTAGATTTTGGAGGCTAAAGGTCAAAGGTCAAGGTCACGTGACCTCACAAAACTTGATTTGTGGCTTGTGAACGCTGTATCAGTAATGTCTTGAGGGAATTTCTTCAAATTTGGCACAAACCTCTCACCTGGAATCAAGGACTCGTGAATAATGCACACGCTACTCTCGCATCACTCTTACCTGTTAGTACAGAACTGCTCTAATGTGAAGAGATCATTGTGTATACTTGCCTCCCACTCTGTGTTTAATTTGATTCTGCCTCCACGTTACCACCAGAAGTAACACCACACAGTCACAGAGAAGGTGTAAATAATCCTCATTAAACTTGATAATTACCTGTGAAAAAATGAAAACTAAGAAGGTGGCTCACAAGAAAAGGGCGAAAAGTATTTTTCTGAATGGTAAACTTAAATTGGATGCCCACGGCGTTGCCTCCAGAGTGGGTCTAAAATAAGTTTGACAGCTACATGATAAACTATTTGATCAAACACAAGACAGTTTGTGTTTGCGCTTCAAAGAATAATTAAAAAAAAAAAAAAGATGATAAAATTACAATTAATTTCAGTAAATTATTGTCATTTTGTTTCCCCATGTGGTTTTAACACAAAGAAAGATCACCAGAGGAAGCTCATTTCTTAAAGGTTTAGTTGAAGAGGTGGAGTCTGAGTGTGGACTGAAATGCCAAATCTCAGCAGCTGATGGAGGAACTGTGGAGTGACATTTAATCAGCAACACTTGACACAGAAACCCCCGCTGATAAACTATAGTAAGTCTTCTGCCGCCATACCATCTGCTGGATTATCAAGTGGTCAGTGGAAAAATAAAGGAGGGTAGAGGAAGTGGTGAGCGCAAAGTGTGTTTTGTAAGTCTGAATCAGTTATCATATACACTCAGCCCTCGTCCTCGTCCTCTTCCTCAGTCCTCCTCCTTTCTTGTAACTTTTTTGTAATGATGATTTACAAGTCTTGTGCAGTGACCTGTTTGCATTTTGTGTCTATAGTTTGAGCGGGATGTAATGATCTGGAACAATAAGAAGTACATCTCCAAGCCACTTCTCGTGAAGGAAGACTCAGCCATCCAGAAGCACAGGCGGTGGTTCAGTCAGTTCTACAGCGAGAACAGCCCGCGGCTGCGATACCAGCACGACACTTTAGACTTTTGACCCCTCTGGACCACAGGAGGAGAGATCAGCGGAGAAGACGTCAGGCCAGGGTTGACATTAATCAGACGTCTCGGAGGTGGGAGTCCAAGATTGATTTTTATCTGTCACGTATAATAAATTAGAGGAGGGAAGGAGGTCTGACCTGTTCGTGGGATGAGGTTGGCCTTATGTTTTAAGACCCAAATTTACTTTATACCTGAAAACCTCCTTTTCTTGGGCTTGTTTAAATGATGCAATAACAAGAACACCAGAATTGCCTTTTTGTGATGCTGAAAAAAAGATTGTCAAAACTATTTTAAAATATGGATAATTACTTATATGGATAATTAATTAAAATATCGTATTATCAGTTACAGACTAGATTGCTTTAGTGACTGTTTCAGCTGGTGTGTGAGGGTTTTTTCCTGATTGGAGTTAATATAAACCACATGCTTCTGGTTTGATTTTCTGATTCTGCATTAGAAATGTTTAATCTTCCAAACTGCAAGATTAGATATTGAATGTGTAATCAAACCAGGCTCTCCCTAAACCACAGGTATAATGGCAGGTGTGTTTGTTTTCTGATTGAAATCTCAGGTTACAGCCAGCCGATGTAGTGGTGAGTGATGACAACTTAAAGGACCACTTCACCAATTTTTCTTACCTGTGTTTCTCTCTGTAAAAAGAAAAAAAAACTTTGATTAAGAAATAATCCAGTGGTATTTCGTGCTGCTGCAGTTTAGTACAACAGTATCAGGTGGCGGATTTGTGGAAGTAACAACTACATGCTCCTTATGAATTACAGCAACTAAGAAAAGAATTGACATTTTGGGAAATACACTTCTTTGCTTACTTTCCAAGACAAAGATGATAAGATTGATATCAGTCGTGTCTGTGTGTTAAATACAGAGTTGAGGCAAGGAGATGATTAAATTAGTTGAGCAAAGAGACCGGAAATATCAAGCCTGGCTTACATCTACCAGCACTTCCAAAGCTCACTTATTAACACTTTGCACCTCATCTGTTTTAACCCATGCACAAACATTAATATATAAACTTTAAATTTCAGATTTTAGAGGGAATTAGGTGGAGTTTATAATACTGCACCTGTAAAACCTGTGCTCAGGATCCGTATCTGGGAACTCGCTGTAGCCATAAATGTCAGTGCTCGGTCTTAATTCACAACATCTCACTACTCCCAAACTAACCCACAATCCTTTTTTAATTTTGTGATTTCTATTCAAATGATGTAAAGAAGATGGAGGATGGGGATGTAAAACTACACTGAGATGGTTTTTGGTTCCTAAAACCACAAACGTATTGTCTTATGGATCAACACTTCAAATAAAACACAGGAAAAGTGTAAAATATGGGCCTTTTAACGAGCCTAACTATATGTACTGTGGTGTGTCTGTTAGGTAATGTTGCACATATGGCAACAAATTATAAAGTGGTCCTTTTTAAGTGTAATTATGACAGATGATGATTGGTATGTGAAAAGTACATCTTGTACATATACAGTTATATTCTTACTTTTTTTACCTGGAGATTCATGTCAGTATGCAAAGAGTTTATTTTTTAGGATTAGGCCTACATGATTGATTTACTCCATTTTCCACCCTAGTGGAAATTTGTCTTCAGCTTCTCCCAAATGAGGTATGATTTATAAAGATAAAAAAAAATAAAAAAATACATACAATCCACATAACAAGCCACGCCATTAAAAACATACAACATGTACAACGTACGATAGAGCAAATGAGCAGGTAGCAACAGATAGGTTAAATAAATAAATACCAGAGAGCAAATCTTATAAGATAAGAAATGAGTAACCAAGTGTTCCATGCAGGTGCAGTAATTTTGTGTTCAACGCCTGTACACCATAGGGAATAAAAAGACTTCTTGTGTTTGTTCCGGCTGGCCCTTGGGGCCCTAAATCGACGGCCGGATGTAAGCACTTCAAACATTGAGTGTAGTGGGTGTGAGGTATCGACAACTATGTGTTTAGCCGTCCTGTGAACAGCACTGTCAAATATATTGCAAAGTTGTTTTTGTGACTTGCCAATCACCTTCCCTGCAACGTTAACAGTCTTAGAGATCACGTGTTTGCTCTTTATACTCAGGTAGCCGTACCGAGCTGTTATGTTAAATGATGGGATGCTTTCAACCAGGCTCCTGTATGCCATTTCAAGAATGTGTTGGCTAACACCAATACCCCTCAGCCTACTGAGAACAGTCGTCGGTTAGCTTTCTTAAAAATGCTCTCTGCATTCTCATTAAAAGTCATTGTCTGATCAATGATTGTGTTGATTTAATAGTTTGCTTTCCTGTCTGGCTCAGATTTATTATAAAGGGTTATTACATTTTGCATGTCATGCTGTTGCAGGTTTTTGAAAAAAAATATTTATTCAAATCATTTTCTGATCATTTATGTCTCATAATTTATAAAATGTTACTCTTAATATTTTGTCAGACAGACGTGCAGTTTAAACATGTTTATGTTTGTTTATTTTCTCCTGGTGCACATTATCAGCTGGTTACTGATTTAATCACCGACTTCAGTGCTGTGAGGCTTTATTAAATGCTACTGTGTCCTCTTGAAGATATGAAGGAATTATAAAAGCAATCATTTTCATTTTGTGTGGGACTGCTTGACATTACATTTTAATTTCCGTTAGACCGTCAGGTGGTCGTAGAAGAGAGAGGACACATTTCAAAGCAAATAACCAGGAATGTTGGAAAGCACAATCATCCTGTGAATAGCGGATGAGTTCCTCTCGATATTAAAATGCATTTCCGTAACTGGCTAATCTACGGATGTAATGTTTATATAAATATGCAGAATAAGTCTTCTCAGCTGTAATGTGTTTGCTCATGCATTTCTGAACTGGCAAAAGCTTTCCATTGCACTGAATTTGTTAGTGTGTTAAATTGAGCGTAACAGTAAAATGTTCACTGTTCTACTTGGCCTGTGGCACTTCTCTAAGGCTCAGATTATTGCTTAGCACTCCTTATCTGTGAATGTGCTTATCTTATCTGGGTTTATGGTGGGAGAGAACTGTGTTGCCTTTGTTATACTGAAGCATTACCTCAACAATTAGCTCAGTTTAGTTTTGTCCAGGAAGAAAGCAGACCTGCTGTAATGAGGAAACATACTGAGCTTGTGTTTGGGCTGCGTTAAATCAATCGAACAGACAGGGAAAAAAAGGAAAAATATATTTCATTACGAAGGATGGCTGAGTCAGAAGTCCTCGACACTGAGGAGGAAGTAGTTGTTACACTGGAAGAAGTCACTGTCAGAGTTTCATACACGACAAGGGGAGCGGAAAAGCAAGAAGATGTGATCGACTCAGTCATGCAGCCTCTGCTTCAGCACAAACATCAGGACAACCGTGATGAGAATCACAAAGCAGACACGCAAACAACGACAGATGGTGCTGACCGAAAGACATCTGTTCCACAAGAGCCGGAATCGGCTGGCAGGGATCAGCCCGGCTGCACTGGAAGTGTCGGGAGTGTGTTCAGTGACAGCAGTCAGCACGAATGCCCCATCTGCAGCGAGCTGTTCGACTCACATGAGGATCACCGCGTCACCTTGCTCCACTGCAACCACACACTGTGCCACCACTGTATAGCCGGCATCATGAAGAGGGCCAAGGACCCGGGCCGGCTGCAGTGCCCCTTCTGTCGACAGACCACCCCCTTCCCACAGTGGGAGATCAGGAGGCTGCAGGAGGAGTCCTACTTTCACAGTGTCTGTGAGCCTGCTCCCTCCCTCATCACCAGTCCTGGCCCTGAACTTCAGGCCGTCCCTACATCACCGTTGTGCTGCTTCGCTCTGGAGAGGCAGCTGGAGGCGCACACGCACAGAAACATATGTGGATGCTGCGTCTACCCGTCCTGCCTCATCGGAGGACTGAGGCTGATGCGGCAACACTCCCTCTATTTCTCCATCACTGCTCTCCTGCTGCTCTTCCTGGTGCTGCTGGGCTGTTTCCTGTACATGGCTGTTCCTGCTATAATGCAATCCATACTTTTGGGTAATGGCTAAACTCATCATTGGAAGGATTTCAGTTGTCTGACTTATTGCTATGAATAAGCGGCCTGCTGTTTTAATACCATCGCAGATACAGCAGGTGACATTTGGGGAAATGTCAAATTTCAAATGTCACTTGTTCTTCAGTTGTTTTATTAACCCACTTTATTATCTTTCATTTCACATAACCTGACACAGCTTCTGAGTTATTTCTGACTACAGACTGTATAGCAGTGTTTTACTGTTGATATTATAGATTTGGAAAAAGTTTGGATTTGCCAAAGCAAAACTGACTCCTCAACAGTATGATTTGCAGGAGCGGATGAATTTGTTTGTGAATATTGCAACTGTCTTGAAAAAAGTAATTCATCTAACATTATTTCTAACACATCTCTAAACCTGAAAGGATCCAGTCTCTCATCAGTTTGTCAACCTCTGACTTTTTTCTTCTTTGAAGTTCGTTACAACTTTGTAGGATTTGGTGCAACACATAATGGGGGTTTGACTTTGGATGAAAACTCCTCACATCTTTCTGGGTCTTGTATTGACCTACTTCTCATCAGAACAGCGTGGATGCTCTCTGCTGTTACTGCTGCATATTCTTAGCAACAAAAACCCAGCTTTATCTCCTTTCATACTGCAGATGAAGGAGACTTGGCCCTACGATTTAATCCTCTATATCCATGTTATTCATTCAAAAGAGAGCCAGAAAGCAATGATGAAAGCTTAAACCAACCAACCCTCTACTTGTTTCTTTTTGTTCTGTTTTGTTAATTATGCACTGGCACCTTTTTAAGTTTGGTGCTGTATATCTCTGCTATTTATTATATATACATAAATACTCATATAGAGTAGATTTCTGTTCAATCAAATGTGTGGCTATGTGAAGAATATGTCAGCCTTTTTAAAATTATTTCAGGTTCAGCACTGAGGCCTGCAGTGCCCAAGATGCACACCACACAATGGCAAAATCCCCAGTTCAAATCCATCCAGGAACCTGTCATGTCACCGCCTCTTCAGACATTTTCTGCATGCTTCTCTGTCATATGTTATCAAATCAATGTGTTTTTTCCTCTTAAAAAAAAAAAAAAATGCCCACAGAAAAAAGATAACATTTGTTGAAGTGTGTACTTAAATATTTTCATCATCTTCATCTTGGTGTCAAATAGCTCTTTCCTTTGGGACTAAATTTTTGCAACCGTTGAACTACCGTATTACTACGCACAAGCGTTAAAGTGGCCGCGGCAGTGTAGCAGCAATACATCACTCCGCGTCTGTGCCTCTCCAAACTTGGAGCGTGCTAATCTGAATCTACTGCAGGTAACACAATGACTATAGATACACAACCCCACATCAAATAACCCCAACTATCATTTTAAAGGTCATAATATGTTGTTTGTTGGCTTCCTCTGCTGCCCTCAAATGGCCAAAAAAATAATTCTAAAAATAGGATTTTTTTATTATGTTTTCAATACTTTAGGTTCCCAGTATCATTGGTTGACTGTGTGAACACCAATAATGAAGCAAAGGTAACATGAACAAAACATGATTCTCAAATAGATAATTAAAAAATACTTGCATTCCTTAGAAAAATACTGATGCCCACTTTCCTGAGCAAACTGATGTAGAGATACTTTACATCTATATCAGGCATTGTGTAACTTTGAAAAAGAGCAGGATGGTGGGTCTTTAAATCCTCTGTAATGACGTGTGTGCCCGTTTTCCTGAGATCAAATCCTAGTTCTCTCCTGACTCGGTGGACTGTCAATTACTGAAGCACAAATTTGGAATTTGAATTAGTCCTCTCTAATGTGAGATGAGAAATTGATCCATATAGATCGGCCTGCAGCCCCCCCACAAGGCTTTGCAGGATGCTGGGAGTAAAATCCGGAAGAGGCTTTGTGTTCTCGCAGCATGAATACTTCAGCTCAGCATTGGGACAGGCAAGCGAGCGAGCACTGAGGGGCCTCACACATCTATAATTTATGCAAGGACTTCACACTACATGAGAAACACATCAGATAGGCAGCCATCCATCTGCAGATGACTCATTGAGGCAATCCATTTCCAAGACCTAATCGGCTTCGTTCATGTCAAAGCACTGGCAGAGCATGGCCTGTTTTGCTCCCTGCCTCCATCAGAAAATGTGAGCTCCATGTTACAGACGTCCAACAACTAGTGACAAGAGCTCGATGCAAAATGCTGCTCGAATTGCTGCATTAAAATGACCCTCACACATCCTTTACGGTACACATCTTCACACCATTCGACATACACATGTTCAGGTCACAGCAAATGACACACAGTTTGCCGACAAACGCGCTGCTGTCATGCTAAGCGCTAAAGCGTGTAGGAGTTCATGTATGACATGGCTCTGTCTGTTCTACCCTCCCCTTCGCGCCCACTTTATGTTTAATACATGGGTAATTCTTTGATCAAAGGCACTTTTGACTATTTAAAATGAAAAAAACATGCAGTGAAATTACTTCAGTCTGCTTTTATCTTTGGTAAAAATGTTCTTTCAAATCATAATGATACGAAGACATGTTTGATCACAGATGATAAAGATACTCCGGCTGGTGTAGTTTTAAGAACAAAATTATCTTCATTAAGGTAGCTAGCCGTGAAAGCTGGTCACTGTGTTTAGCTATGTTTTCAGTTTAGCCAGCTAATCTCATAGCCCTCCACTGATGTTAAACACTGATGTGTCTGTGACCATCTGACTGGTGTAGCTAGCTAACTTTGTTACCTTTATCTTGTCGGCATGCTTGTGCAACAACTGTTAAGGTAGTTTCTATAGTGAAATGCATATATAGCAAAGGACTATAGCAATAGGCTACACAGTGTGTAGATGATTACTGTTAACTGCAAAGGTTGGTTTAGTTTTATGAATAAAATCATTTTTCATTAAGCTAGCTAGCTTCATAGCCCTCCCAACTGCTCCACTGATGTTAACACTTGTGTCTGTGAATGTATGAGTGGTGAAGCTAGCTGACTTTTTTTTACCTTTAGCTTGTTGGCATGCTTGGATGACAACTGTGACATTAGCTAATTTTAGTTTTACTTACTTACAATTTTATCAACTTGTTTGGTTTTTCTTTAAACCAACTGATTGGAGGTTAAAGGACAACTCTAAAACTATTCAATTTCTTTTTATACCCCATCTTAATTATATAACTAACAATATTAGCCTATCTTTTTCGAGTATTCAGTTATATTTGTGAATTGGTAAAATTGTAGCTATAGTTTGTCCATTGTACATTTTGACATTAGAACCTCTGTATTTATGTTTGCCTTACAGTCCCTAAAAAGAAAATAAATAAATTTAAACCAAATGTAAAGCGTGATGATAATTACCTGATGTGTTAATCTAATGAGAAGTTGTTATATTGTTATTAACCTAAAAAACATTGAAACACATACATACTCAAACATCCCTCTCCCAGCCTTGCAGAGGACTGTGTGGGTGGTGTATGTGTCTATTCCTTCTGTGTGGGCGGACGGCTCTAAGTGTGAACTCAAGAGTGTTTGTGTCTCTGTGTGGATTAGTGTGTATGTGTGTATACTTGGGTTTAAAAGCCTACAATGATCTGTGTGTGCTCGGCTGCCTGTGATTATTTTTGTGCATTAGTCTCACTGAGCTAGGGAGTCTTTATAGGACTCTGTTGTGTTGCTCCAGCAGCAAACAAGCAAACTTATATAATGGCTACAGAGAAGATTGGTCCAGCTGTATTGATGGTGTGAGTAGTGACTGAGTGGGATGGAAGAGAGGTAGAGGAGGCCTTCATAACCTCATTTAATAAGAGGCCTTCACGCCGCCAGGGTCATCCAGTAAGTGGTGAGCTTTATACAAACTGGCTGCGGCAGTCACACGAGGCTGAGAGGGTAATCATTAGGTGTTCTGTTCAACGCCGTTATATTTTCAGTTATTTTCAGTGGTGTGAGGGTGACAGGGACTTGTCTCCTCCTGTCTATGCGGCTGGCATTTTGGAGGCAGAGTATTTTGTGATGTTTCAATTTAAGCTTATTTACCTCAATGAGGAAAAACACTTTTGAGAGTGGCTCCATCCAAGCTTAGCAACAGAGAGACACCGTGTACCCAGATCCTGGAGCCAACCACACCTGATCAATCAAACTACCTCAGCATCTCCATAAATCATACTAATTCTCTGTTCTTAACAGGTTTATGCCTTATACTCCTATAAACTGTACCTGTACCTTTTATCTTATTTTTTATATTTTGTAACTATCCAGTAAATCATGGACTTTCATGTGGTGATTTTTTAGGTTTCATGTAAACTGAAGGATTTAAGAAAATTCTCTCTATATCTTTGGCTTAAAAAACACACAAAAAGCTTTTCATAAGTTGTACAATAGTCTGTAAACATCTATTGTGAGCAAACTTCATCTGCTTAGACTGTGTGATGTGGTTGAAAAAAAGTCAGGAAGCGAACCTTTTCTTCAAGGCAAAATCTTTTTAAAGTTGCAAGTGGTTCAAATATGTTGAAATGAGATTAAAAAGAAATAAGGTGAGGAATTACTAAGCCTCTTAAACATCCCCTTTAACACAGCACATAATTTACATTTTCCTTAATTTAAGTTATGAAAATTGAAAAAAAAAAAAAACTTAATCTTATTTGAGAGCAGCTCGTTGTGAAAGCACACAGCCAGCAGCTGATGAATGTTGATTTCTTCAGCCTTGTGATTAATTCATCAGCTCACTGCAACACACAGACACCAGTGTTGTGTGATTTATAATTCACAACACTGTTCAATGATTTTATTCTGGCCTCATTTTCAAAACACCTTTTTTTTTTCCAATTGCAGGAATTGTTTAATACTTGGAATAGACAAACCAAGGCTCAGGGCTAAAGCCCCTCCGGGAAAAATATGAGTGTTTGTGTAGCTATTAATAATCAAATTTAAATGATATGCGGCTGTTTGATTAGCTCACAATCTTTTCATTTCTATGTGCTTGCCCATTTGGTTTAGCTGATGCATTTCGACGTTTCCTGCTGTGGTGAATAAACTCACTGTCGGCTTGCCACAAAATATTTCCTCCCCGTGAAGATCCCCTTTTGTGTGCGTGTGTATTGTAAAAAAAAAAATCTTGTTTCCTAGGTAACCAGGAGGTTGATTCTGCTCATGTATCTAGCTGCAAGGATGCTCCCAACAGTTACTTGAACGATCCAAAGCGCGGGGTCAGAGATTACACAACATCCAAACCACAGTTTGGATGGTTTTTCCTCCCTGTCCCCGATTGTTTTAAGACACAAGACCGCTGCGTGTCGAAGTGTGACGGCTGGAAAGAGGGATGACACTGACATCCTGCGTGATTAATGATCTGTCCAATGGGGTCGGTCCACTCTACGCTGTCAGTTGCACGACAAATCAGACTCCCCTTCCAGTTTGGAGGAAAATAACTCGCATGGTGTCCGTGGATCAACTATGACCTGAAGCCCTCTAGGATGGAATAAACATCCTTCCCTCCTCCCCTCCATCTGCTCTTGTGCAATCAGGCTATTTAAGGGGAAAATCTCACAATCATCTGGTTCTCATTTCAAACCACACGTATTAACAAAGCCTACATATTAATCGGAATTGATGTTGCAGCCTATTCATGACCTGCAGATGCAACCTGCAACCTGACGCTGCATGCTTCCATCAACGATCTTGTCTTTCATGTTTTATTATGAATAACATGGTGATTGAATGTATTTTGAACAAGTAAGTACATTTATTTTTCATACGAGCATCTTCTGCTCCAGCATCGTCAGCAGCAGCAGCAGCAGCAGCAGCAGCAGCAGCACGCCAACGCGCAAAACCCTGTGACTGGGGAGCCGATACGGCGGGAGCGCGCACTACCAGCACGGCGCGCATGCACAGCTGTCAGCACCAAGGACAGCAGCCGCTCAGCCCGGAGCGATCAGCCAGCGACGTATCAGTGTGATCAGTCCGCACAGAGCGCAGGGATCAGCAGCCGGAGGAAGCGATACACACCCCGGAGAGGAAGCCGCCTGGAAGCGGGGACTATGCTTCAACTCTTCTTTCAAGACCACGGGGAGGTGTGAGCAATTCTGCAGAGGAGAGCAAGAAAAAAAAAAGGTGGACAATGCGGTTTAGACATTTCTGGTTCACAGCCTGCCCCTAATATGATAATGCACATTCCTCCGCATTGCACATAAACCCACCTATTTTTTTTCCAGCCTTCCTCTTCCCTCTTTTGGCCGCACTCCCTCGCTCATAACGCCCACCTGGATCTGGTCTCTGCAGTCGTGCATTCAGCTGGCTGAGCCGTGCTGCTGTCCAGAAGCTGGTCGAGCCGACCCGCCACCGGGGAGAAAAGCTACCGGGCTGCGCTGTGCTGTTTGTTGGTCCACACGATGCGTCTGTTTCTGCTGGCGGTGCTCTTCTCGTGCTCCTGCGCGCGGGCCGGCTGCGAGCCGAAGATCGTGAACATCGGGGCCGTCCTGAGCCAGAAGAGATACGAGCAGGTCTTCAAAGATGCCGTGACCCAGGCCAACCAGGTCTACGGCAGGGACAAATTCAAGCTGACCGCCATCTCCGTAACGCATAAGCCCAACGCCATCCAGATGGCTCTCTCCGTCTGCGAGGACCTCATCTCCAGTCAGGTAGGAAACATCACACTACTGCTTCATTCATCAATGAATCACAGCTCAAAACACCAGCCACATATGACCCACGCATACTTCCACTTCAGGGTGAAATGTTTCGCTGTCAGACTCTGCATCAGGGTGTTCTGGAGGAACAACAGTTTGGAAATCCCCGTGCTTTGCTATAGAAAGTTGGTGCTTTGAGGAAACATTTGCATGTCATAAACAGATGTTTTCTCACGCAAGAGGCACTGAAGTGCGTATTAGACCAGATTGGTTGCCATGACTAAACCGTCATCAGTCTTGTGTCCAGACAAAACAGTTGTCTGTTGGTCCACTCAGTGTGAACATACAGTATAATCACATGTATGAAAACACCAACAGAGAGCAGCCAGTATATTATTACAGGCCTGCCCTTTGCCCAATTTGGCATCAACACTACACTTAAACCACAAATTAATCCACTTTGTGTGGTTCAAATCCCGTCAGCTCCCCACAGACCCATCTGCTTTACAGACATCCAAAAATAGGCTTTGGTTTGGGGCATGTCTCAGATGAGAGGGCAACTGTGCATTTCAGGACACACATCTGCAGATCCAGTGAACTGCAACGGAACCAGTGAGGAGTGAAAATGTGCAATACGTCATTCACAATTGACAACTTCAATGGTGCGTTACATGATAACATTTTGGCATCAGGGGGCTGACATGGCCGTGGACGGTTTGAGCAAGCACTTTGTGCGTGTTGGCCTATAGGCGTTGATCACTCACTCAGCTGCAGTTTGCATGATATGATGCAGTGGTAACATGGAGGAAAAAAAAAAACTGTTATGCTGCAGTGAGATTAAAACAGTGCTTGGATGCAGATTTTCAAGGGAAGAGTTTTGTCAGCCACGCAAGCGTAAAAATTGATACCATATGTGCTGCAGATCCGACAAACAAAACATATGTCATAAGTAATGCATGGTGAGTGTGTGTGTCTGTGTGTGTGTGTGTGTATATACACCTTTGAGAGTTGATAAAACACTGACGCACACTCAAATGCACCGACCATCCTCTCATGTGATGCTCTACATGGCTTTTAAAAGGGCCAACATTATGTCACATCATGTTGAGGTGCCTTGCTCTCCCTCCTATTCCTCCCACACACATAATTAAGCTTCATGCAAAAAAACACACCCACAGCTTCAGCGCTGCTTTCATGTCCTTGGTCCTCTGCTTACTGTAATGACAATAATTGATACAGGCTTGTAGAATAATACTGTCGCATCTAGTCCTCTGCAAGCATGAGCGTGCAGTCCACCCGTTGAGGCTGTGCAGATTACACCAACAATGGTTCAGTTCACTACACACAGGCACCTTTTGTAAATGAGACACAATCAAACCTAATGTAGACAGAAAAGTGTATGGAAGGTTTCCTCAGATGAAGCTGGCTTGTAGGCGAGAACAGTCACTGAGAGGGAAAGTCTGTGGCAGATGGAGGAGTAGATGCCTGGGAGCAGTCCTTGGAAAATAGACCTCATTTTTGACCCAACCATACGGACCGCTCATATCCAATAATCCATGCTTTGCACAGCCATGCCAACTTCATTCCCCTTCCTTCACATCTTTGAGAGAGGCACACGCAGCTTCAGTTTTTTTTTTTTTTTTTTGTTTTTTTTTACCAGAGCGATTGGTCGGCTTTGGTGTATTTAATGCAGGAATAAGACTAAACCAAACAGCCATAAATTAACATTAGTCTGTCAGCCCACACAGTGATGAGAGGAAAAGATGTCTTTGCTCTTCTCCTTCTCTGTTATACATGAGTTTGTCCCTGACTACAACTTATAAAGACGTTCACTGTTCACAAATGTTATTTTTAACCTGTTATACAACATTGTAGGCCAGCAGTTACACCCGTCAAATACTATACTGTATTTAAAGCACACACAAGTTTAATTCATCTTAGGTAGGTAGAAAAACAAATGTTTCAGCCAAGGCTTAACCACCATTCAAGGAAAGCAGGCAAGATTCAGTGGGGCAATTTGTCTGTATTAATTCCATTAATTGTCAATATAAACTATAAATGTAAGGGGTAAATATATTTGCATTTATTCAACTTGTAACCGAACTAAGATGGGGTTCCACAGGACACCCAAAGGGATCCCTGTCTCACTTTTTCTCCAGGCCCCTGTAGCAGGTTACTCAGCATCAACTGATGAAATCTTGATGCTGAAACATGTTTTTCTACAACATCCTTAAATGGACTTTTTATAACGTAAACATCACATAGCCATCTTTGTAAGCGAGCATAACAAAGGTTGTGTTTTGGCGTTAACAAACCTAACAGAGTTGAGTTGAGTGTATTGTTTCCTGCAGTATGCGCAGGCAGGCCAGAACTGTTTCATACATTTTGAGTCTTACTGTTGTGGCTCCTTGATGATTGCAATGTAAGAATTTAGATTTGTATCCCTTCCCATGTTATTGTAAATATATTATGTTAATGAGTTAATGTTGAAATGTGTTTATAGAGCCAGGTAAAATTACAAAAACTGTGCATAAAATACAAATAGAAAGAAAGAAAGGCTGTGGTATGTTTAAAATGAATGCCTCTAAGTCTTTATCCTAGTACGACTGGTATCAACACTCTGTCTTAATGCCAGAGCCAGAATGACAAAGTGTTCTTCTTCTGTTTCTCTGCAGGTCTATGCTATCCTGGTGAGTCACCCTCCTCAGTCCAATGACCACCTCACTCCAACGCCTGTCTCCTACACTGCAGGCTTCTACCGCATCCCTGTGGTGGGGCTCACCACCCGCATGTCCATCTACTCAGACAAGGTGAGTGATGGATGAGAGAGATGTAAAGAGAGGTAGAAAGAGAGAGAGAGAGGAAAACAGGAAGGGAGTGAACAGAAAGCGAAGGAGTAAGGAGCTCCCCTGGGGCAGCTTCAAAAGCTTCTCAGATTAAACGTCCCATCACTGTCCATTAGGGGAGCTGTGATTAAATGGGTCTCCAGCTGAAAATTGAAAGAACATCATTAATAATGCTTCTGACCTGAGTAATGTTTTTATGAAGCACAAACCACTAAAATGAAACTTTAAAGCAAACACATAAATAAAATGCCAAGGACTCAATTTAAAGTCTGTTTAAGTGACATCTGAGCTGATCTTGCAAATTAAAGGAAATCAGAGGCATTAGATCCAGAGTTTTAAGAGAGCCCGGGGTGTCACGGAGTAAGGGATGATGAAAGTGTTTGAGTGCTTCTTTACAAGATGTTTGTCATTTAGAGATTAGGTTTGACATTTGTTTAAGAAACTGTTTTCATCACTAATATATTTTTCTAGAACAAATTCCATTGCAGGCATTTAATCTTTCAGTATATTATATGATCTGTAGGTATACAATTAGAAAAGAACATTACTTGGCCGTCCACACTTTGCTGAAGACAGGATTTGAAAATATGGCTGCAGAGATTTGCTCCCATTCAGCCACGGCAGCATTAGCGAGGTCCAACACTGATGCTGGGTGATAAGGCCTGGATCACAGTCAGAGTTCCAGTTCATCCAGAGGGTGCTGGATAGAATTGAGGTCAGGGCTCTGTTCAGACCATTTAAGTTCTCAGAAACAAAAAACACATATTTCTGCAACAGGTTCTCCAAATTAAAGAACAAAATATTTTGTTGGCATTTGCCATTTAGAATGACACATAGACGCCTTCCCTGATCTAATGCCCCTATCTGCAGGATGACACTAATTGTCTGTACTGTCCAAAACCATCACACATCACAGTTTCAAGATGTGACAGAGCTATGCTTAAGGTTGAACTATATAAAGGACTTAGTTAGGGTTAGTGAAACATCATGGTTTGAAGTAAGCTACTTAGTTAAAAGACTTGTGATATTGACATGATTTGTGTTAAAATTACTTCTTTAATGGAGCTATTTGTAACCTTTGCTATTGATACATCGCTAATGTTAGCATTAACAGCTGGTTACTTACCAGGCTAACGAAGACCTTCAGCCATCATTGTGTTTACAATACAAGATGTTACAATACGTCCTCTGAGAAGCGCTACTTCTTCAGGGTAGCCTGGATGCTGCAGTGACTCGCTATCAGGAAGTGACAAAAAGGGTCGGTGTTCTGACAACTTTTGCTGCGTTGTCCGAAAAATGCTAACATAGCACAAATTTATAGCAGAGGCTCTAACCAAAACCATCAACAGAACTGCTAATTGATAGGTAGCACAACAGTCAGAACACAGGCCAGACCAGAGCTAGCTGTTAGCATGCTAACTTCAGTAGGAGAAAAGAAGTGATAGAAATTGAGGCTGGAGACAGATCTTGGCGAGTACAGGGATGACGTTTGCTGTTGAACTCCCAACATTTCTTCTAGACTGGTAAGTAAACAGCTGATATTGCTAACACTGGCTATGTAGCAATAGCAAAACTTACAAATAGCTCCTTTAAGGTTAAGCGACCTTTGTCGTCATGGTTATAATATCCACTTGATTAAGGTTAGCAAATGATTGTGGTTAAAAGAAGCTAGTGTTGAAACAGAAAACAAACAGTCTCATGCTTAAGTATCATATTTTGTCGACCCACCCAACATTTCCCTCTACTAGAACTAATGGGGCCTTGCTCAAATCTTAAAAAAGAGCCCCAGGAGACAGTTTTGTCCAAATGTTATCCGGCTAAATCTTATATAACACAATTACAAAAGTATTGCATGCAAGGACTTAAGTAACCTTTAAAAAGGCCAGAATCTGAGAGGTTTTGTCCTTAATTCCTTAATGCTGCAAGTGATGAGTCATTCATTAAAAGTATTGTTGTTATGGAAAACTGTTCACGCGAGAGTGTTAACCCATTCATTTCCTGCTTCGTGCTCCTCAGAGTATCCACCTGTCCTTTCTGCGGACAGTTCCTCCCTACTCCCACCAGGCGCATGTGTGGTTCGACCTGATGCGCGAGTTCAACTGGAACCACATCATCCTGATAGTGAGCGACGACCACGAGGGGCGGGCTGCTCAAAAGAGGCTCGAGACCCTCTTGGAGGAGAGAGAAACAAAGGTGAGACGCTCCAGCTCCCAGGGCCCACCCTCCTCCCAGAGTGTGTGAGCATGAGCGTGCGAGTGTGTAAGGTTTTTAAACCTCAAAGGTCTTCTATGTATGTAACTGTTTTCCTTTTTGTTGTGTGGCTACATCTCTTTCTCACCATTGTGTAAACATTGGCTAACATGCCTAGAGACATCAACAGCGTCTAATGTGGTCTAATCTGACAAAAGTTTGTATGTTTATTTGCTCATCTTCACGTTGCTTTTCGCCATAGTCCAAATTATCCTGTGTCTATCCACAGTGGGAGCCAAATAGTGGACTTTAACGTGGGGCTTTGCAAACCATCACAGACTGAGGTGTTGAGCTGTTTTTTTGGGGCTGTGGTGGCAGTCAGGTGTTTCTCTCCTCTCGGCGTGTCGTGATAGCCAGCTTCATTATTGCACATAGGGGGCTTGTGTTTATTGCACCCTGCTAAGTCATGTTCTCCAGATATGGGAGATGTTTTTCGCCTTTTGAGATAGCGCTGATGCATCCATTTTGAGTGTAGCTCTGAGCTGTGTATGTGGGTCAGTGAAATGCTGATCTTCTTTGAGTCAAAACAGACTTGAGACTGCGATGATGTGTGCCCTTTAGGAACAGAGAAAGAGAGAGAGATAGAGAGGGAAAAAACAAGTGCTATCTATTTCATCCATTCATTTAATAAGATGAAATTACCTTGGGATATGCTTTCCCTTTATACTCTGTCATGCTCGTCCCTCTCCGGGGCTCATTGCTGTAATTGTGTGCCTGGGTGAAATGAGTCCTGATTCAGAGATTTAATTAAATCAGAACATGAGGAGACACTGAGTATGACACACAACCGAGGTAATTTGCAGAAGGCAGCTACAGTTAAAGCGCAAGCTGCTTAAAGTAAGTGAGTGGGATCAGTATTGATCAACAACCACCAATAGAAAAACATTTCAAACATTTCAATCAATCACACTGAATCATGCAACCGCATCCACAAATCATCTCGTAGTGACTCACATCCTGCACTGCAGAAGAGAAATGTGCGTATTAAAAGCCTTTGAATCTATCCAGGAAGTTCTTTTTAGGTTTGCATAATCTGAGTTTGGATCTCAGAATGAACCCATCTGTGCACCCCATTCAATCCCATAATGCAGACTGAAATTGCCTCAACTCTCTGCTTTGAGGCTCTAATTGTGCATATTTAGTTATGACTGCAAAGCCAGCTTGAGCGGTTTTGGGACTCTGAGCAGCATTCATTTGAGAATCTCCCCAAATGTGCACAGCAACAATTAAACTGAAAACCTAGTATAACTCAATCTATAAGGTTAGCAAAATTCTAGTGTATTCCTATTGTCAACAAATCCCACAATAAGACCAAAAATGTGTGTATCCTGCCAACAACTACTGTATCTGTGTATCCAAAATTTGATTTGATTTGAATTTGTACAGTGGCTTCAGAAAGTAGTCAGACCCCTTAATGTTTTGAAGACTTAATTGTGTTGTAGAATTAATTTTAAATGGATGAAATTGCCATTTTTACTCACTAACCCATAATGAAAAAGTGATGTTTTTAGATTCTTTTGCAAATGTATTACAAATCAAACACTTAGTTCTCTTATTTATGAATGATTGAGACTGATTGCTGTGGTTCTGCGAATTGTGGGCAGGTGCTTCCTGTTTGCTTTAATTATCCTTGATACGTGACTACAACTTGACTAGAGTCCACCTATGGCAGATTGAATTGATTGGATACACAGCAGTTTAGAAAAGCACAGACCTGTGCACATAAGGTGCCACAATTCACACTTCCTGTCAGGACAAAACCAAACCATTAGGTCCAAAGAACTCTCTGTAGACCACTGCAATAAAATTTTGTGGTGAGGCATAGATCAGGGCAACGGTACAAAACCATTTCTAAAGCTTTGAGTGATCCCTGGAGCACAGTGGCCAGTGGTTCTCTGCAGAGATGAGAGAACCTGCCAGAAGGACAATCGTCTCAGCAGCACTCCATCAATCAGGCAGAGTGGCTAGAAGGAAGATGCATAGAGTAAAAGAGATATGACAACCAGCTTGGAGTTTGCCAAACAGCATTTAAAGGACTCTGAGAGCACAAGGACAAGGATTCTCTGGTCTGATGAGACAAAAATTGAACAATTTGGGCAGAGCTCCAAATGCTACGTCTGCATTGTTCATCACCTGGCTAATGCTATTACTACGGTGAAGCATGTCTCTGGCTGTCTTTGGGTGGCCCAGATTTAAACCTCATAGATCTGTGGGGAGACCTGAAGATGGCAGTTCACAGACGCTTTCCATCCAGTCTGACGGAGGTTGAGAAGATCTGCCAGGAAGAATGGGATAAACTGCCTAAATCCAGGTGTGCAGTGCTTGTAGAGACTTACCCGAGAAGAATCAAAGCTGTACATGCTGCCAAACCAGCTTCTACAACATGCTGAATTAAGGGTCTGGATACATCTGCAATTGACAAATTTCAGTTTCTGATTTTTCGTAAATTAGCAAAATTGTCATTTTTCATTATGGTTGTCTGACTACTTCCTGAAACCACTGTATCTTATTCTGAGTCACAGAGCTCCATTGAGGGTAGAGAAGTTGTAAAGTATTGAGAGATGAATTAACACATTGTTGGTTTTTGGTCTGGTCATGTGATTTGTTCACAATACGGATGTCATAGAAAAATACCAGCCTTATCCTTTTTATAATACATGTTTGGTACAGTGTCTTTCTTATAGAAATTCAATATGAATAGTACATTAAAAATGGAACCTGATAACCTTAAGATGCATCCCATCATTTTAATAAGATGACACCAAATATAAAAATTTGGTGTACCACTCCAAAATGCCTGAAATCTGTGAGGACATTTGGGGCTTTGTTTTTTTGGCACTAGGTATACCTCTAAGTACTTTAATGATGAAAAGAGAAGACTTAAATAAATTCAGATTTTTGATTAGTTTGGTTGCCCCATAGTGGCAAAGTTGCCCTGAGTAGCTTTTTTAGCAGCTTGACAGCTTCAACTGTGTTAGGTGATGGTGAAGGAAGTTAGTCTGGATGTGGCAGATTACAGCTTCGACACATTATGCTCTAATTAAAGGAGAAGGGGTGCTATTCTTGACAAACACCCGGTTGTGCTGCATAAACTCAGTAGATTGACATTATTTTTAGCCTCATGGCAAGTCATTAGTGAAGTCACAAATGAGGTCGCAGGGGGATCACTGTCACCAGCAGCAGAGAGGCTCTGGACACAGTGGACTTAGTCAGAGTGCAAACGTGACCAACACAACATGAAATATTAATGCCCGACTGAGGATACAAAAATAGATCGCTCAGAAGAACTCTTAGGGAAAAAAGACAAAGGGAGGGTTTTTGTTCTTTGCAATGCTGCTGGAAGATGCACATTCAGAGTATTTCTACATGCTGAATATACATAAACGCTCTCATTTTGTTTTACAATTCTGAATGGTGGATGCTTGGTATTTACAAAGTAGTTTAAGTGTTAACTTTGCAGCAGCTTGGAAATGGCTTGGAAGTTAACATGTAGTCTTTTGAGCCGCGTTTCAGTCACTTTTTCATACTTGTTCCGTTGTCAGAAAACATGTAAATGAGAACAGCTTTATTTGGGAATTCGGCTGTATTGAAATACTGTTAGCTATATGTGAGCACAGAGAGGAGGAGAGGAGCAAATAGATAAAGAGCTGAAACCAGCTGAATGCAAATACAGCATGGTCCAGCCATTTACTGGTTTTGACCGAATCTTGTTCGTTATTTGTTTTTGTCAGTTGGTGAAAGCAGTAAAATGATCATCGATACAGGCTGCCCAAATGTGATCACCCAATTGCAGGGACTGTATGATAATAAGTTACTTTTTATATGTTTTTATTTTTATAAAGACTAAAAGTTGGGTAACAAAACTCAACTTTGCTCCTCTTAAGTGAATGATGGGGGTGCGTTTGATTCACCTGCTCCATTGTTTAGACGCCGATGACAATTACCTCTCAACATTCAAAGTCACAAGTAACTCAACTAACATGACTAACACAAAGATCATAGCATCAGGTTCTATAGACCTTTAAAGCTCTCAGTTGATGTGAATGGAAGAGTTTCTGGATGGTATTTATTGTGAAATTGCTTGTCAGCCTGAATATTGTATTGATGCAGGGCCAGCGCTGACTTTGTGAAGGGAGGGGATCAGACCCAGAGTGCACTCAGGTGTGAACTGTGAAGTCAGGCAGCTGTGCAAGAAATTCTGTGAAGCAGGAAGATGTATTTTCCTGCAAAATGGCCTCCTGTCTGAGGCAGGAGCCCCGAGTTTCTCCTCTCACAGAACGCAAACTAGGACTAGAATCTAGTCTGAATTAAGTCGATCCTGTGAGTTGTGACCAAATTCCACATTGCAATACTAAATGTATAGAGTAAGTGCTATATAATGTTTATACCAGTGGTTCCCAACCATTTACAACTCATAGCCCACTTGAAAATGTCAAAAATGTTGGCGACCCTCGTCCGACCCCGTAACAATACGAGGGCAAATAATGTTTTCTCACAGCAGTTTTTATTATAATGGTGACGATGGAACAATCGGGATTGAACTGACAGCAGGGGAAGTTCAATTTGTCTTTTTTGTTTGACGGTGGAGAGGTCACTCGTAGATTCACCATCTGCCTCTTGACTCTTTCCTTTTTAATTCTTCATCTTGTTCTTCAGCTATCCATTTTGATGCTCCAGTTTTTTGCCATGGTTTTATCTTTTTAGCACACAATCAGTCTCCGATAGCAAACAAGTATACAATGTTGTCCCGCCAACAACAACATAAAAGTTCCTATCATTGGTTTATCACAGTGATAGACAACATTATTAAAATTCAGCATTTTTAATGTTTTGTTTCTAAAGATTATTTTGTTTTAAAACATATAAAAATATTATTTATTTTCTTTTATAATGACATCTTTTCACCAAAATTGTTTTGCAAATGGTTTGTCGGCCCACCGTTGGGCTCTGGCCCACAGGTTGGGAACCACTGCTTTTTACAATACTATATTGTTTTAGCAGTTAGTGTAACTTTACAAAGAGAGAGCAGAATGTTTTTTTCTTAAGATTTAATAGTATTTTTGTGTTTGTTTTCAAGATATTTCTGGAACTGTCTCACTACCATCCACAATTAGTTTTAATTCTTTGCAGCTATGAGCACAGTCTCCATTCCCATTGTAGTAAATGGTGGGACAGTGTAATTCAATATTCAGGTATAGTATATACTCAACTTTGTCACTTTTCAGGACATCTGGAATTAGTGTGTAGTATTGAACTGGGAAACAGCTTTAGACTTTGTTGGAATTGTATTAAAATCAGACTGTGAACTGTTGGCTTGTGTTTGTGATTTAAATTCGATAACTGCGTTTTACTTTTAGATAATTTGTATCAATTTGATTTTGTCAATCAGAATTAAATTGGTAACTACAGTTGTTGCACAGTTTGTATAACCATTCAATAAGAACAAAACCAACGGTTCTAGCTTTTGATGTGTCTGGTCAGATAAGTTAAATGCTATGTATAGAACTAGCTGCAGCCTCTGAAAGTGGTACTTTGGGGCAGAAAGATGATGCCACCTCTGCAGATGGTTGGATAATCTGGCAGTTCCTTTGGCACGTTTACATGGTGTAAAACTTTTAATGAGCTTGTCGTATTTTTTTTAAGAGGCCAAAAACTGTGATTGCATTTTGGACTTGATGGTGTGAGTTTTGAAAATCCGATCGCTTTCGATGACAGCCATGTTTGTTTGTGAAATGTTATGTTTCCAGATGTGTAATGTTACCTTACAATATGGTGAAGAAAAAAACGGTGTTTGATCCAGTTCACTGAATCATTGCTGATAAGTGATGCATCAAATATGAAGAATAAATCACCCTGAATAGTGCTCTGTATTTAACAGGTGTGTACATGATTGCAGCATTAGTGGTCATCTCTGATGTTCTTTGCAAGCCCCTCTGTTAAAGATCCCAATTTGAAGCAGAAAAGTGGAGATTTGTTGGAATGCTTTACTGCCCTCCATTTTCAACTGTTTATAATATTTTTCTGTGTCTGCATATTTTCTCTGTGCACATTACTCATCAGAATAAAAAAAGGAACTATGAAAACCTCGACCAACTGTCCTATGACAACAAGCGAGGACCTAAGGTATATTTGCATGGTCAATGCACGCCGCCCACCAACTTTCCAAACGTAGCAACTAGAAACCAGCCCAAACCAGTCACCAGCCGACCCAGAAATGTCCCTCTCTTGGTAGCACGTGTTTTCTTTAATTTTTACTTTGAGACATTTCCCTATGATTTAAATGAAGAATGATTTTGTTATGAAAAATCTATAATTTTCGGTCATTACAGAAAAAAAAAAAAGAAATCAGTGAACAGCGCCCCGCTTTTATCATTTTCATTTTCTCCTTCAATAAATACAGACATGTACTCAGAACACACACACACACACACACAGACACACACACACACACACACACACAAAAGAGTTTGCAAGTCCATTCCTTTGTGGAGAATCGGTAGTGTGGGACAAAACCGTTTCCCTGATGCTACTTCCTCCTGTTCTGTAGCACTTCCCTAGTTTTCAGCAGTTCTTTTGTTGGGGGAAAACGTCCCCCTCACCCCCCTTCACCCGTTTTTAGTTACTGGTTGCATTGACCTTCTTCTTCCCCCTACCTAACACATGCACGTCCTTCTTTGGAGCCTTGATAACCCTCAGTTTGCATGCAAACAAATGCAAAAGTTTTTTTTCCCTTCAAGCTTTTTTTTTTTTTTCTTTTTTTTTTTTCTTTTTTTTTTTTTAGTTCAGCCGGTTCCCCTGGATCGCTTTCCTTTTTATCTCTGTCTCCCGTTTTCAAACAAAATCGGCCAAGCTCAAACCAAGCAGGTAAAAAGGCAGCATGGTGTCTGAGGTAGAGAAAAGTAGCTGGCTTGACCTTTCTTATGCCCCGATCACAGGCAGAGAAAGTCCTCCAGTTCAGCCAGGAGACTAACTTAACTGCCCTGCTGCTGGAGGCGAAAGAGCTGGAGGCCAGAGTCATCATTCTGTCGGCCAGGTGAGATTTTCACAACAATCACAAGTTTAAGAAGTTTAAAATTTCAAAAATGCCCTCGAGGTTCCGGCTACACCCGTATGGATGCATTTTTACTCACACACATGCAAGATAGGTAAAAATAAATAAATCAATTAAAAAATAATAATTTTAATAAGTTAAAATTGATTATTTAGTTATTTTTTAAAAACAAGATACCTTTGGTTGTTAAGGTGATGCTTAAACATAATTTATCTTATACCAGTTAGACCCAGCTGTGGATGTTAATGTTAATATTAAAATTATGTTCATGTATTTCAGGTTGAATTTTAGAAAAATGTACCAATGTTTTCTTGTGGAAATGTTGCTAAAATTGCATGAAATGCTGTAAAGTAAAAAGTAGATGGTAAATACAAACAGTATCTGATACGTATGTGAAACAAAGTGCATTTGTGTAACTAAGCCAACCGAGGCAAAAATTCAGTTTACAAAATGTCTTCATGTTAACACGAAGATATTTCACAACATAAATGTTATATAAAGTATCACTTATCTTTATTGATTTGGAATATTATTAAATCTTTCAAGTCTTCACCCGAATCAACTTCCCAACCTCCCTCCCATTAACTGATTGCCATCAGCGTTCATGAAAACAATAATGATGGTTTACAAAATGATGATGATAAATAAATGACTTGGTTACACATGTATCTACCTGCTTATATATGCGTACTTACATACCTGCATATCAAGACAAAAAAGGTCTTGCTTGGTAAATGGCAGAGTTTTGCAGAGTTAGGTTATCAGGTAATGATTCCAAAAATGTAAGAAATGAAGCCCATAAGTTATGAAAAATTACTTTTTTGTTTGAATGTAAAGTAATGAAATGTTGAACAGCAAGCAGTTCCCAAACCCAATGACAGTGGTTTTGTACATATATTGTAGATACTACATATGTGTATATCTACAGTATGTGACAGCAGTGATCCAGAACAATGTGTGGAGGAACGTCTCCTTCTTTTGGTCTTTAGTTAGTTTCCTTCTTATTCTTAAGACTTGTAAATAGGCCCTATCTGTGAAAACAGTGATAAAGTCAAACTGTCCCAGTCTCAAGTCACAGCTGCCATCATAATAATATCATGGACTTATTTGGGTCTAGTCCTGCACAGAAGTTCTTCAGCTCAGACACAGACTGTCTTCCCTTGAAATTCCTTATACAAGGTGAACGTAATTCATTGTTTAGGAGTGATGTATGTGGGTTTTTATACTTTTAGCCATTCCAGGGGACAGCTTTGTTCAGATTTGGGATGCTGTTACACTAGTTAACCTGTTAACAAATGCAGTTGTCCACTGCTGAATATTTCTGCTTAAGACATCAGGTATCTCCAGCTCATCCAGTTTGCAAGACATCCATCACACAATGACAACAAAACTACACATTGAACCTTGAATCACAAAAAAAAAAAAAAAAAAATGCTCTGATGTAGAAAAAAAACTTTCTTTTGTCTTGTTTCCAACGTCCTAAATTCCAGTGAGGAAGACGCTGCTGCAGTGTACAAGGCTGCCCGCTTCCTCAACATGACGGGCTCGGGCTACGTGTGGCTGGTGGGCGAACGGGAGATGTCGGGTAAAGCCCTGAGCGAGGCGCCAGACGGTACGTACATCCGGCGGAGATCAGTGGGAATACACGAGTTAACCCCCGGCTTCACTCTGAGGCCGATCATAACAGATACAGGATTAAAGAGATTAACCGTTGAACGGCAGATTGCGTTACGCGATTAACTGTATGGTGGTTTGTTGTGTGTTGAGCATTTCAACGTTTAAGCACTCTGAGCTTAAAGGTTTAAATGTGGTGTGTCCACACTCAGCGTTTAGTTTAAATGTGTATGTCCTGGATTATTCAAAGGGAAATTCATTGTGCTCTCGTGTCATATTAATACCCTGGTTTCTAATGAATTATAAAGGGAGAGTTTTGCAACAGGTAACTGATAGAATGGTAAGATACAACAGCCTTTTTTTCTCTTTGTTCCTGGGTTTTTATTTTTGCACAAGTCTCACACAATATTTTATCACTTTCTGGTCACAAATGTTCAGCGTCCCCCCCCCCCCAGGCACTCTAGCACAACCAACCCCAGAGCGTTGTTTTGTCCTGTTCATGTCCCATCTCATCCACCTCCACTGCAGCTTCTTCCAGGAGCCTGCAACACCGATGGACCTGGTTGCAATCAGAAAACTTAGCTGAAGTTGGATTGTGTCTTGGTTTAAATTCAGGTCTGATGGTGTTTATGTTTGGTCTCAACACACATAATGTTTTGCCTGTGCAGATTTCTCAAACTTTAGCTGGTAGGGCCACAAAAAACAGAGAGATCCAACTTCAAGGGACTCTTTACACATGCTGTGAAAAGGTCATCAGTGGTTACATCAGAAAAATGATCCATTTATTTCTGTTGCCTCATCTCATAAATGGCAAGATGTTGATATTTTCTGACTTATTCTCCGAGAGACTTAACAGGCAAAGAAGATGGATCATGCAACTGATGTCTGACCTTTATTCAGGATGTCTAAACTGGAGGCCCTATAAGTTTTTTTTCCCCCACTTTGTGCATTGCAAAAGGATCCAGGGAGGGCAAAGTTTGCTCAGGTCAGTGACTATTTTTGTTGTTGGCCTGGTCTCAGGTCTGATCGGCCTCCAGCTCATCAACGGGAAGAATGAGTCAGCCCATATCAATGATGCGGTGGCTGTGGTGGCTCAGTCCATCCAGGAGCTCTTTGAGAAGGAAAATATCACAGAACCCCCGAGAGGATGTGTGGGCAACACCAACATTTGGAAAACAGGGCCCCTTTTTAAGCGGTAAGATTAAATACAGATTTTTCCACATTTTGGGTAAAGGTGAGATGGTTTTTAAAATTCATGGTTTACAGAGGGTGTTAAAGTTCAATTATTGTGACAAACATGACAAACAGCTTCATAAAATAGCATTCTGGATTTCAACTCTTTTTAGGACACAGGATTTTTTTCCCCAAAAAATTCTGTCACATACAGATTAGTATTTTCTAACTATGAGAGTTGGAAAAGAAATGGCTCAAGATTCATCATTTTAACTTTAAGTCTGACTTCATTTAGCCACGTGTCAAATCCAGAGTTCTCAGTTCAAGAAAGGTTTATTTAAAATGAGTAAATGTGATATATGAAACGTGGTGGGTGATACTGAATCGAGTAATACACAGTAAAATGCATTGTTGTGTTCCTAATAGACGACACACGATATTCATGCATGAACACTTGTGCGCTCATTCACACGTACAGTCATTTTTATCTGCTCGCCACAGGGTGCTGATGTCATCGAAATACCCAGAGGGCCTCACAGGGCGCGTGGAGTTCAATGACGACGGCGACAGGAAGTACGCTCACTACAGTATACTCAACTACCAGAAGACTCGACTCATTCAAGTTGGCATTTACAATGGAACACAGGTAAACTGAGAGGCAGAGGCGACTGTGAGGCAATTTCATAGGAAGTTCCTTCACTATTTTAAACTCACTGCCCATGAGCAAGTTGTTCCGCACCGACAATATCACACATTCTTTTAAAATTTATTGGCTACATCCACACTAATACGTTTTATTTTTAAAATGCATCACTGTTTTTGCGTGCTGTCCAACACTGCTCTGGAGTTTCTGAGCTCCAAAAAACAGACACTGACCCTGTTTTAGCTTGAAAACTCCAGGGCTGCGTTGTCGTGCGGACGGGCAGAAACTGAGACCTTTGGAAACCATGGTGCAGACACCCACGTTCGCCTCCTGATTGGGTCTTATCGGTCACGACTCCCAGTGGTGAATGCAACATGGATAACGAAATGCAAGCGCTACTTACTTTGTTGTCTTTGCTAGCAGCTGCTGAGGAGTTCGATTTTGCATTTTCTAACGCTACAACTGGCTTTTGTTCTTCCTTCCTTTGCAGAGTAGACTGCTTCTTATTTACACAGGCACGCACATGCCTACTGCATGTGAATGATGATGTGATGTGCATTTTCAGCTGTGTCAATATGGACAGAGATTATAACTGATACGGAGCTACAATGCTTGTCTGGACAGAGATCCTTTTCTTTTTGAAATGAAAATGTATTAGTGTGGATGTAGCCATACTGGACATGCAGACCCAGTTTTCTATCTATAGTGCAATGCACTTAATGTGGGACAACTCCACAATCCTCATCTGGCAAAAAAAAAAAAAAAGTTCCCCCAAAGCTACCCCATGCAACATTAGTCTGTCACATTAAATGAGGGAGATTTCAAATATTTATTGCTGTTTTTATTGCTGTGATGACTTGGGGCATACAGTACAGATAAAATTTACAACAGATGGATTACAAGAGGGTAAGAGAAAGTAGAGAGAGTGATAGAGAGGGGACGCGGAGAGAAAAATTATGAGTTAAAGAGCAACTTAATATCAAACTTAAAAGTGTTTCATTGCTGCCTCCAGTTGACAGTGTCACATCTGTTTCACCAGTGGCCAAAGTCAGCATGTCTGGTCAGACATTAAAGGTCGGCAAAAGATTTTCAGGGGGCGTCAGGTTACCCTTGAAGCACAAGAATGACTGCTGACTTTTTAATGACCAGTTGATTTTGCTGAGGTTAACTGCTGTTACATCGTGTGATATTTGGTTGACGCTTTGACCTGAACCATACATTTATTTCTGCTAGATGC